TTTTTAACAAAAAGGAAACGTTCAAATGGCTTAAAACAGACGCGATAGCTGATTGGAACGAGTGATGTTCAATGGCGGCATCCATCTCTGTATTGTAGGCTACAAAATCTGCTTCAAAACCCCAGCGCTGTCGTCATCGTGTAAAGCCCGCCCCAACGTTTCTGATTGGTGCCGCGATTTCGACGGATTGGAAATGGGCTTGAATGAGCTCTTTGCCAGACTAACTTTCAGAGCAAATCTAAATTTGCCGGAAGTTGTCTGGGTTTTCCCAGGCTATGGAAACAAAGGAATACTCTTATTTATGGTCATACCCCAGATAGCAAACAGTCATTGAAACTATGTTAAATCAACATTCCGTTGTCAACATTAAGTCATTAAATTCAACATCGAACTCTGATGTTGATTCTACATCATTTTGCACCCTGTTTTAATATTGAAACAACATTGAAATCCTTTCCATATATCAATGGAATTTCAATGGTATTTCAATTATCAGGAATATTGAAACAATGTTGAAATTTCAACTAAACTGAGGATCAACGTGATTTCAATGGAATTTCAATCGTTTTTAAATGTTAATTTTAAATGTAATGCCATAAATTAAATAGCCTGCTTTATCTACAGCAAGGATGTTAAAAAGTAATGGAACATTTGAAATCTTGTATAAAACACTGAACACACCACACCACACTATTTAAAAACAAATTAATTTTTATTAGCCTTTTTATTTAATTATTTGTACTCTTTATTTACAATTCAATGTCTTCTAACGCCTGAATATTTTGTCGTCCAGTCCCTCCTGCCCGGTCTGGCGCATAGCGCAGCCACTTTTGCACAGCCTGTGCAAAAGTGAATTGGGTGACGGCGGCTGTCCCCATCTGCTGAGTAAGAGCATCTAAAACAGAAAATAAAATCACAATGCAAAAAATTTGCATTTAAGTTAAACAGAAAACATATTTGAACACTTGGAACAAATTTTGTAGCCTAGGCCTATGACTTTTCAATGATCGGATATTTGTCCATGTGTTGTAGGCTAGCCTGTTTCCCCTACATTCAAAGAACTTTTCAAACTGCCCAATATGTTCATGAATGTATTCGAATTAAAGGGAGGCGAAAAGGATAAGCTTGCAGTGCCATCTTTCATAAGGAAAATTTATGAGGCCAAGTGACTCTAAAAAATTCATGTTTATTATTTTATTAGTTCAGAATTGTTAACTCAACAAATTTTATATAAATAACTACTCGGTTACTATCGTAACCTCAGTTCCCTGAGAGAGGGAACGAGTATTGCGTAGTGGGGAAACTCCTTTTCCTCGATTTACTGAAGCCTATATGTAAAACGCATTTGCAGCTGCACAGCTAGCACACTGAGCGTCTGGCACGCTCATAGGCTGTGCTGCAGCAACTGCACATCCAATGGCGCGGGCGACTCTAACGTGCGACCAATGAGCTAGCCTTATGTCAGAGCCCGCCGAGGGGGCGTGGCCCAGCCTATATAGACCCCCGAATTCGCCATAAATAGCAGGTTTATTCGACTGAAGCGACAACTTCACCAGTTACTATAGTGCGGCCGGCTACGCAATACTCGTTCCCTCTCTCAGGGAACTGAGGTTACGATAGTAACCACTAACCACTCGGTGATAGGGATGGGCGATATGGACTTAAAAATATATCACGATATTTTCTGGCATTTATTGCGATAACGATATCAATGACGATATAAAAACAATACCATATTCACCACTGTTTTTGGCTACAAGTGATAGCTGCATGCAAAGCAAAATGTACCCTTCACCAAATAGACTTAAAATAATAATAAAAAAACAGTAAAACAGTAAACATTCCTTGCAGAAATGGAAAAGTTGCATACGTTTCTTCTGTAAAAGTGCAGATAATGTTTAAATAGTGCAACTATACTGAAAAACATCACACAGTAATAATTCAAATCATTTACAAGTTTGAAATATAAAAAATCTAACAACGAATTTATACTAATACTATTACGAATTCTGATACTAATAACAATACAAACCACACTAAGGATTGATGAGCTGCTTGGTTCATGAATATCATCACGTCTGCGTTTGCGCATTAGTTTCTGCTTGCTCAAAGCTGAATAATTCCAAATGAACTCCATTATTTTTACAGGAAAATACAACAAATAATATAATTTACATGTAGACGTCATGTACACTTCAATTCTGCGTGGTATGTAAGACTCTCTCTCTCTCTCATCGGGTGCGTGAGAAACACGCTCTCAACAGTGACAGCACGTCATGCGCCTCAGTGTTTACTGCGCGTCAAATACACTGTGTATTCATTGAGATGAACTGATATAGTGGGCTTTACGGATCACTTGACGGAGAGCGACACTCTCAAGCGCTCAGTCAGTGTTCGGCGAGATGGGCGGATGAAAATCTGTGTGTACCAGTTCCAGATTGTAGAGGTAGTTACTCGTTTAGCGATAAACTTCACCTCAGCTTCACGTCCGCCTTCCGCCATGCGCGTGAGCTGCGAATGCGTCCCGTCATAGGCTTTATCGTTATTATCGCGGGAAGACTAATTCTTATCGTGAGGAAAAATTTTAACGATATATCGCAAACGATAATATATCGCCCATCCCTACTCGGTGAGTGTCACAGTTTTGAAAACGAACGTTAAGGGTTGTTTTAAGGACATGTTTGAGTATGCTCGTAGACAGCCACTCTGAGGCGATCCTAAAATAGTCAAAACGTCAAGACAGGACCCATTGTCAAAATTTCTAAGTCCACCACTCTAGTTCATCCAAAACAAACTAGAAAATAGACTCAAAGTGCTAAATACCGGAATTATCCTTTAAGGCCCTTTGGCTTGCAGCCTAGGATTGATAAAATAATAGTGATTGAAAATGGAGCAGGACTTACCAAACATATATCAGCAGAGTGCCAACTCTTTAAAGGGACATTTTTGTTTTGTAGGCTCCTTGTTCTTTTTTCCAGCCCAGTTCAGTCCTGAAGCCAGTTCATTAGACATCAGGTGTGACATCATACGGCGGACCCTCACCTCTAGGGTAGTTCCTCCAACAGTGGCGAGACGAGCAGTCTAACAAGTATACAAGCAGGCCCGCCGACAGGGGGGGACAAACGGGTCTGTTGTCCCGGGCCCAGGGTAGGGAGGGGGGCCCAGAACTGGGCCCTCATTAAATTATGGAATAATTGTTAAAAAAATAAATAAAATAGGCATATTTGTTGAAAAATATCTAATATTTGAGTTACATAAAAGCTTTTTATTCGTTTTCTTCCTAATTGTCCTTGAAATAGTGGTCAAGAACCCCACCCCACCCCCCAAAAACAAAAATGGTTTGGCCACTGATCGAAATATGATGTTGTCATTTGATTTGAAGTTCAGTAGGCTAACGTTACGCTCAAAATGTCCGGTCAGCACAAGTCCGGTGCTCAGAAAAGAAAAGAAAAGAGAAGAAGAAAATAGAGGCCTTCGAGATGTCCTAAACAAATATTTTTAAAAAGGTGGTGACGGTGAAGCTGGAACTAACGTTAGTAAAGTCAACGTAGAGCAAGGTAAGAAACAGCGCAGCCAACGTTTATGAGTGTTGTCAAAGACCCGGCACTTCGGTACCAAGTCGGTACAAATTTCTTTTTAAACGTCACGCCACGGTACCAGGTTTTCTCAAACCCGGGATGCGCGTGCATGCCCAAAGCGCGTTTAGTTGCGTCCTCTTCATAAAAGCGCGGAGACATGGCGACCGGCGGTGCTGCTGCTGTGGTGGCTGTAAATCCAGTTGTTGATAAGAAAGGAGGAAAGAGCCACATATGGAAATATGTTGGATATTAGCTCATAATAGCGACGCGGCGCGCTCGTTTTTACAGGCGCGCCTAAGTTCATTGTTGCATAGCAACGACAGACGCTACGGGAGAGCAAACGCTTGTGGAAAGGAGAAAGCGGTGCGAACTGCGCTCTCCATGATGACGAGGAAGTATTAGCAAAGAATTCATTGATTTCTAGCCCTTGGATTAGCTTTACTACTATGGAGATGAGAAATAAAAAGCCGGCTTAAATGCATCACTGTCATCATCGGTGAACAGAAAATGGGTCAGATCCGAGTCAATTTTTGCTGTGCTGCTCATGCTTTAAAAGTGAAAGCACACTTTTGATGGACAAAAAATAAATATGATTTCACACAAAAAGTGCCCAAAATGCACAGATTTTGCATGTCTAGTGTGTTTTAACAAGAACTGCAGTAGGCTATGTCAGAAAAGAAAATGAAGACATTTATAGAAAATGTACCCATTTAAATGTGTTTTTATTATTCATTTTGGGTAAAAGTATATGGTGTTTTATAAAAATAAAAAAAATCGTGGGGGGGCCCATCTAAGATTATCTTGTCCCGGGCCCAGACAAGACTGTCAGCTGGCCTGTATACAAGTATAACAAATTTGCAGCGTTAACACATGCAGACTGGATTCACATGTGATCATGCCAACATGTTCCTAGATCCAACGACGTTACTTTCAGGAGAGCGTTGCCATATTCCTCACCAATCTCCTATATTTTAGTAGGACATAATATCCCAGATATAGGCTAATGCACAATCTGCTTGTTACTTTTCCTTTCCTTTAGTCATGTAGCACACCCATAGGAAATTAATGGTGTGGGCGCCGGCAGTGAACAGCTACAGTAACTCCACAGTAAAAAAAGCTCAGGGTCTTGGATTTCTTGATTCTGCTTCTGTGAAATACCCCTCTGTACAGTGCTTCAAGATCGAACATCATTTTCAGCCAATTTGGTCTGTGCAGAATTATTTTTTTCAGTCTGAATGTAACTTGGATTGATAAAGGCGTACTGAAACAGCAGTTTTTAGGAGATATTGCAATGTGAAACGTGGAATGACTGAGACTAAGGTTCAATACAAATTAACCCATGAGTCTACTGTCATAACTGTCAGGCAGTTTAAGAAAGTTGTGCATTAAGTGAAGTTTTCTGACAGAAGAATGATGTAACTATTAAACAACTACCATTGCCTGGCGGTTTGTGCTATTTAGCAGTGTCTCTTCTGCACGGTCCAGGGCCTCCATGGTGTGGAGGGGCACCTCCAAGGGCTCCGCCAGTGGCCCTCCCACAGACACCGACTGTCCACACCTGCAGGACTGCCGGAATTGCCTGAACTCCTCCCGCAGGTCCTTAACCTCCTTTGATAACTCCGTCACTGCAGTCAGTAGTTTTTGCATAGCCACATCTATTGACAAAGAAAATTGTACAAACACATTTCAGAAGATGTTGAACAAAGAAATGTATCATAAAAAAATACTTAGAGCTGTCAGTGTAATGTTTTTTTTTAATATTCTTTTATCATTGTCATACACTAATGTTCATAGGTTTGGGATCACCACAATTTGTTTCATATGGGACAACTCTTGGACTGCTGTAAAACCATTATTTCATGAGGCTGGTTATAATGAATCCAAATGGATAAATGAATGGTGGTAACAAACTTTTTAACAGTTGTTTACTTTAGCAATGCCTCCTTCCATTGGTTTAAGCTAACAGTTAACAGCTAACAGATAAGTGGTAAATCCTTCAATGATTCAAATCATTGAGGAAAGATAAGGCTTGGCCCCTAGGGTTTAACTTTACTTACCTTTTAATGCCAGCCTGGCAGTTTCTGAAGAATCTGTAACTACTATGAAAAGAGAAATTAAACCATTTGACTGCATTTGGTTCGAATTTTGAATATTTGAATTGACTGAATTTAATTACTTGTTTTTAAAAGCATACCTTCAGGAGATGACCTCTGGAGTAAATTCATTGGAGAGAATTCCAATTCATCTCCAGTGAACGATGCTGGGACATTGGGGTAAGACAACATGGGGGAATTGGGGCGTTGGAGGGTCTGATAAATTCGTGGAGGTGGTGATGGTTGGCTGTCCTGACTGGCTAGTTGGGTCGCTGCTTTGTGTAAAGAAAAAAATGTGGGTGGGGAGTAGTTGGTTAGGGGCAGATGTGTGTAATGCATTAGATTCTCTATTTTTTGCAAAAGCTTTCTTTATGTACACAAACACACACACGCCACAATTTTGCTAACTATACCTGGAAATAACACTTTGGGGGCTTGGGCGAATCTGCGCTCATTCTGGGGCTCCTCATCAGAATGATAAACTGGATTTGGTCTAAAAGTAAACAAGGGAGCAAAGCACTTAAATTGTCAACTTGTGCATGTCTACAAATTGTTAAACTGCACGTCACAAATGGTTGAAACCGTTTATATGTTTGATTTGGACAAAGGTATCTGCCAAATGTGTGCAACTGGAAAGTGGACATTTATTATTACCTTCTTTTTCTTTTTAGGCCATGGTGGCTCTCCTCCTCAGACTGGATGTCAGTTGTGTCACAATCTTTATTGACATATCTGTCCAGGCTCTTTGCTGCCGCATCATGACTAACTACAAACATAGAATAACAGTCAAGTACAGAGTCAGGAGAAATATTGTCAGACAGGGGTATGTTCAGACTCTTACAACGATTCTTATACCAGAACACCCACCACGAGTTGTGAGGAGACGGATTGGTTGATATGTGTGCCATCCCTGTCCAGGCTGCTCTCGGTTCAGCATGGCTGCATTCAGCCTAATAGAGTCCTTAGGAGGGTGTGGGGGCCAGAAGACTTTATCCCCTTCAACCCATGTGTTTGGCACAATTTCAGTTGCACCACTGCTGAACTGTACAACACACCACTTGGTCATATTTTTAATGTAGGGGATTTCAAAGACTATAGAAAATAAAGCACGACAAAATTTACTTATAAACTGACGAACTGACTGCATAAACTGATTATATAAACTGATTTGGACATTTTGGAAATTTTAATTGGTATGAATGATAGGAATGGCAATGAACTGTGTTTTGTCAGGATACAGTATGTACTTTTTGCCGATGTGCTGAAGCCTCGTCACACCGACATTCTTACTCAACCCCCAAACTGTATATACCCCAATGTTTGCAGATGGAAAGGGATACTGGCCATAAGATTCTTTCTTGGTAAACTTTTGAAAAATGATGTAAGTCACCTGACCTACCCTGACAATGTTTTCAAGAATGGCAATGTCATCTACAATTTGAAAACAGTTAACCCCAGACCTAGATGATAACGTGTATTTTTCCGTAACAAGCTTATGGTACTGGTCCCCATAACTTAATGAAGAGATCGATGGACCTTCATAATGAGGATGCATGAATTTTTGCTGACTTGCTGTAAAGGCAAGTGAGGCTTGCGCAATAGGTGCTTCAGTAATCTGACGGCAGGTGTGTCAGCTGATGGACATTGTAGGTAATTTCACCTTACCCATATAGCTGCCCAAAGTGAGTTACGAATGAAGTCAACAATCCCTGAGCGCAATCAATCATTTCCTCTGATGTTCCAGGAGACAACAGCAGATGCATGGCCACAGAAAGTAACATAAAGTTTTCATAAATTTCAAGGGCAATGGTATTTTTCAGGACTACTGGGCCAGCATAAAGCATGAAATATCGAAGCTCTGTAGCCTTCCACCCATCTATTTCAGAGAGGTGCCTGGGTTTCCGGCTGAACTCAGAAGGAGTGTAAGGTCCTAGTCCCTTCAATTTAACAGATATCTCTTCGATTGATTTACTTGACAACCTAGTTGCCAGTGATTTGCCCCTCATCCAAATATATAGCAACTTCCTGGTTACCCCAAGACAGCACAAGTGCATGTAATCTAATGGGAACATTGTCACCATTTTGACCAGACGAGCTAGCGGGGACAGTGTTTGTTTTAAGTGGTGTTCATCATCAGTCATAGTCTGTGTCTGTTCTCAATCTAACATTTGTTTCCGGATATGTCATCTTGTTGTGCCATTCACCCACTTGAAAACACTTGTCGGAGCCTGAATAACCATTGTGGCTTTTTATATTTTTAATAAAAGCTTGTGCTGGGGCGTCGCATATAAATGAGCACACTTCTGCCATAATCTGCTGCCCATTGTGAATAATGCCATTTTTTAGAATGCCACTAAGGTCCTCAATAAATAAGCCCAAAAACTCAAAGACACTCTTTGGTTTGGTAAAGCCACAGAAGAGGCTGACAAGGAATGGCTATTTTCTGTAATCAACATTAATGGTAGCTAGAATGGGCCAGAACTGAGTTATGCTGCTTCGGAATAGCGGTAAACCATCTATACTGAACTGCAGCTTAATTGTGGTCAAATTAGCAGGCAGCTTCAAAGATTTCAGTTTTGACATCAATTCAGTAGCTAGGCCAAAGTGATAATATTCCCCACCTTCCATTTTCTCAGTTTTTATTTCACCTTGTGTCTTGAGAATTGTCCGAGCATCTCCTGGCAATACTGGATGAAACACTCGCAAAATGCTCAAGAGTGCAGTCAATGCTGCTAATGAGACAGAAAAGGAAGAGGCCCAAAATCTTAGGCTCGTCACTAACTCTGATGTTGGAGCTTCAGCATCAGAATCATCTGATTCTAAATCAACAGGCCTAGCTGATGGACAGTCGTAAACAGACTCCAATGACAGATGGGACTCACTGAATGCTGACCTCTGCTCAAGTTCCCCTATACTTGGTTGCTCCACAACTGAGCCAGATTCTGAAACACCTGACTCCAATGCTACACTTGGGCATTCAACATGTTCCAGTTCTGCAACAGAGTTGCCTTGCATGTTGGAACCAGTATAGGTTTTCTCATACTGCTGCAGGATTTCTGACTCTGTGGCCCTAAGCATTGATTTAATTTTCCGCCTCTTTGACCAGCGTGATGTCATTGTGTAAGTGCAAGTGGTGCAAGTTGTTTGCAGAATGAAATAAAAAATGTTGTTTTGCTTACTTGGTCTGCAAATCTGTAAAAGAACAGAAAAGACAAAAGTCAGAGATATAAAAGCAATTAAAATTCACAATCACACAGTGTGACTGTACTTTATACATATGTACTCAGGTAACCAATCTGTTATCTGTTATTAAAAATATAAGAACAAATAAATTTTCATATAAACAACATAATAAAAAATTTTTTTTGTATCTACAGTAGATTTAACTGTAGCATTCAAGAAATAAAAATAAAAATAAAAAACGAAATACACTTTAATGTAGGCCTTTAAAATGTACAATTCTCATTAAAGCTAGTGAATTATGCCCCCTCTACTGGACTTCCTCGCCCCCTCAGATTACCATAAATGTTAAAGTGATTTTAATGATAAAATATGCTATTTAAAAATCACATTTTCCAATGGCATTTTCTTCCTATAGTGAATATCAAGCTAAAATAGCAATATTTTAGTTAAGGACAGTCTTAGGGAAAGTCGAATTTTGATTGGTCGTTTGAAACCAGAGAAAATGTGAAATAATCGTATGCGTTTTTTTCGTATTCTTCTTTCGATGGCTCTGAATCATCAAAACACCTCTCAAAATACTTGCTATGGATGCGAAAAACGCAGAAAGTCGAATCCGATCCTAATTTTTAAATGACAGACGAAAGTTAAGGAAGCATTGTGCAAACGTGATTGACAACGTCGTGGGGTCATATATTTATTTTTTAACGTTGCGAAAATTACACCGTGCTAAGACCTTAACTGCTGAGGTGGTTTCACTCATCAAAAAGAAGATTGCAGCTCTACTGAGGCTAAAGGTAGGGCATACAATTACATAGTTTGCTCGTGATTTAAAAGGTTTGATAATTAGTGGCAGTTGTAGCTGTTCAGATTCTTTTGACTGTAATGTTCCGTTAAACGGGTTGCAACAAACTGAGCATGTGTTTTTTGTTTGTTTGTTTTTTACTCTTGCTGTTGTTCGCAGGCCTTCAGGCTCCCTTTCTGAAAAATAAAACAATGCTTGTGTGCATGAACACAAGTAACAATAACCATTATATAGATTTAAAAATGAATGTGACGGCGCATGCGCGGGCAAAACTGATAAAACTGGCTCTGTGGCTGAGGCTCTGCAGACAGATATTATTGGCTGGCGCCGGTACTGGTTCAGCACAAGAAATAAATTAATACAAGCATGTATGGAACAACATTATAGTGAGTAAATCATGACGTATTTTTGTGTATCTGGCAGCTTATTAGCACAGTCAGACGCGAAAGATTAAGTCCAGTTGTCAGCAGCCTTGGCGCCAGAACATTTTAACATGGTGGGCTATCCACGGGGGGCACATGAGTTTAAGTGGCCGTTTAGAAATTGCATTTGTGTAAAAAATAATAATAAAAAAAACACATTTCAGCGCTAGATCGCCTCTTATTAAACTAACGAACAAAATTGATGCTCAGCTAGTTAACTGGAGATGTTATATTTATTTGTATTGGTACATTCGTGCCGCAAGATGTTTCTATATGAAGTATGTGGGGCTAAGTCCCCCCTTGACGCCAGGCCTGGTTGTCAGGCGCTTCCCCGCGCTCAGAAAAGGTGCACGTCAGAACAGAACGCCAATGTTTTCCTCAAAAGCAGATCTTGGTGAAGATCATCAAAAATCGTGATATCGCATAAGCACTAGTATAAAACGACTTATCATTTCTGAAAACAAACACAATGGAGTTGACTGTATCGCACATAATTATCGCAGCCCTGCTCGAGGATTATTAATATTTTGCATTTGTATTACGACGAGATGGTCTAATCGGCATTTCCAGCTACAACTCGAGACAGTTCTGCATTGAATAAAGTAAAGGTACGTCGTCTTCTGTGTAAATCTGGCCCGCGCGGTCACTTCTGTGGGTAGCGCTAGGTGGAGCATTGCTAGCGTTGGTTTCGCCAATGGTCAGAAGAAATAGCAGTGCTGTGTTAATAGATTTCACGACACTAGTAGCAGCTATGCATTTTGAGCTAGCTATCACAAAAATAGACTGGAGTCGGAGGTTTTGCTAACTTTATAACCTAGAAGAGAACCAACAAGTACTTTTGGCAGATTTTGACACAGTGGTAAAACAAAAATCTATTTCAGTGACTGCAGCACTGCGTCGGTTACTACACTAACCATCATGTTAACAATCAGCCTAACAGTATTTGATTTGGTTCGATTCATTCATATCAAACATTAAGCAAGCTTCCCATAAGAAATTTTACCATGGTATTTTTGACAGTACCATGGTACATGCACCATGGTATATATAATAGTATTTTTAATAGTACAATGGGACATGTACCATGGTATATATATGTGTACCATGGTATTTGTACCATACCTACAACTGTCAAATTTACAATGGTACATGAAGTAAAATATTTAGCTCAGGCAAATAAAAACACAGTAACTGTAAATTTTTTTTTCATTTTATTACCCCCCCCCCCCCCCCCGTAGATTTAGCAGGATTTTCTTTTCACTATCTTGCCCGCATTAGATAACTTCTGGCGGATTTTCATTTATTTCATTTATTTATTTAAGGACAGTGCACATTGATTAACATTTCTGTATGAATGTTAATCAAAAGGATGAATCCCTTTATTTCAGCATCATTCTTTTCAGGGAAGACAGATTTAACTTCACCTAAAGAGAGAAAAGAAGTAAAGGAAAGGAGAACAGACAAGTTACAGATTGACACATAGATCTACAATATATTTACA